TGACTCCGACTTATTGTTCTCACCAGCTGAAGTCTGAGACGGGCCTGTCGGTGTCGTCAGCCAACGTCGGGATCGAGCTGCGTTACTCCCGTCTGTGTAAAACGGAGCAGAGTACGCAGAACTGAAAATTTGCCCTGAAAGGAGAAGAAACAAATCAAAAGCAGCTGCTTCTACTATTTATGAGAGAAATGCTAATCATTGTTTTTTTGGATTTATTTTTACAGTTGAGTGTGTTTTTAATTCCTCTCCCACGTCAGCGAGGTCATTTACGTGATTACCGGTAGTTGAGCAAGTTGAGAAGCAAAAAGATCAGCGTTTAAAAGCCCAAAGGTAACACAAATGAGCTCAACAATTGTGATTGAATTTCAACGTTTCCATCATTCCTTTTGTAATGTCATACTTTAAAATACACAATAGAATCAACAGAACTACAACAGAAATGAAATAAATAAAAATAAAACAGCATGTCGGTGGGTTCTGAACCTTTCTCAGCTTCTGTCGAGGCTCACGGTAGAGAAAGTTTGACCTAAACAATCTGCTGTTGAAGCCACAAATGGCAGATGTTAATTAAATGGTATTCATGCAAACTGTTTGATATGTAATTCCTTTTCTTTTCGCATTTCCTCTCTCTGTCCGTGCACTCATTTACACAAGCTGATCCCTCCTGGTGTTTTATTTAATTAGGTAAAGCACACATTACTTGCGTGTAAGTGAACATGTGCGAGCATGTGTGTTTGTGTATTTGCTCTCCAGGAGCTGTCAGTCTTTCATGAACTACTAAAAAAAATACATGTTCAAGGTGGGTTCTTAATACTATTTATCTATTATTTATCTGTGTTATTACTGGGGTTGAATTTGAAAAGAGAACTCTGTGATGTGGGAGAATTCCCTCAGCGGCTGGCTCTTTCCTTTAATACGTCTCTTTAGTCGGAAGACGCGCTCCCACCTCTGCTGTAAAAAGAAACCTTAATAGATCTCCTGCAATTTCTGACAGTTTTCTCAAATCATCTTTTTCATTTTTATTTTCAAATGGCTCACCTCATCATCTTCCCCTCTCCTCTCCTCTCCNCTTCTTTTTGCCTTCCTCTTTGTCTTTTGTTTTTTTTTAGTCCTTGTCTTTTTGTTGGCGTTATTATTTCTGATGATGAGCTGCGGTTGTTTTCTTCACCTCAGAACTGCCTTCTCTTTTACTAATCTCTGTTCTTGTTTTGTTCAAACATATTTAAACGTGCTGAAGGCAGATATGATGGGCTGTAAATGTTGTGATTGATCATTTTGCTCTCATTTGACCCGCAGTTACTGTGGTGATTAAATATTCACACGTTTGGGTTCTTGAGCTTTTGATAATTCAACAATGTTTTCTTGTAGTTCAGTTTTTTTATGTAACATTTACGTTTGACTTTGCGAGCACAGTAAGTGTGTAGTTATTTCCACTGACCAGAGCTGCTGCCAGTCTTGGCCTGGACATGCTTGTTAAGATAATAATAATAATTAAAAAACATAATAACATTCTTGAGTTTAAATCTACAAAGTTGTGTAATTCCTGGAAAAAGTGTAAATAAATAAATGGAATATTGTAGTAATGAAAAAGGACATTAGAAACCTCACAAGCCAGCCAAATAGTTTCCATAATAATCAGAAGTTCTGACAAAGGCACATAATTCAGTGATTTTTTTTTCACATTTATTGGTATTAAAAACACCTCTCAGTAGTTCATTAATATAATCTTCTAATAATATCAAAGCAAAATTCTTTAAAAAGAATAAAAAAACAATCACATTACTACGCTGCATGCCAGAATTTTAAACAAAGATCTTGTGCAATCTGCTGTTCAGTGTATTTACTGGGGAGGATTCTCAGCTACCAAAACACAGAATTTTAGCCTAATATCTAAAAAAAATACTATATTGTAGCCATGTTTGTGTTTGGTTAGCTGTGGTGGATATCTTGAATTAGGTTGCACATGTTTGCCTAATGATCACTCTTTTGAAAATTTCAACTAAATATACCCAGAGGTTCATGAGATATTTTGCTAACAGACAAGCAAAATAACAGACAGGAAGCAGGTGATGATAACATCTCCCAGGTGATTTTTTTTAATTAGAAAAATAAGTGTCCAGATGGAATTCTCTGTTCAACTCCCACCCAGTGCTTTCCCATCTGACCTTACAACTTCTACTGTCACAGGCAAAACTACTTGTGATATGATATACCCACCCCGCAGCTCCCATTACACTCACCCATCAACAGGAAAGTCTTATAAGTTGCTTTGTTTTAAAGATACAAGAGGCTCAACAAACCTGAAGTTAAGCTTTGGGTTTATTTCTCTCGCCTCCTCTTATAGCCTCTGTCTCTCTGATTGCCGATCTGCCCCTGAGTGTTTAAAGTGCTCCAGCTAGATCCTTGTGATTAGGGTAAATACCTCACTCCCCTTGTTTTATTTTTTTTATTTTGCCAAAGACCAGAATTGATTAGGAAAATAAATACCAGGTGCACAACGTTCGAGGTGATCCGCTTGGAACATTTTTGAGATTGAGGTAGAGAGAAATGTAAAAAAAAAGAAAAGAAAAATAAGTGCAACTGTGGCGCAAGAACAGCATTTAAAATGTGGACTATGGGGGAGGTGGGATCAGGATGGTATATATAAAATAAAATTTGAAATCAACTTTGACGGTGCTGGTGTTGAATAGGGAATCAAAGATGTTTCCCCTCAAATGAACACATATTTTTTATCTGTAAACCTTGGTTTGTGTGCCCACTGTTTAAAACCAAACAGTGGATGTGAGATGAAGCATTGAAATACAGAAAACAGAAATTAGTTTCGATACATGTAGTGGTGAGTCATTAAGTACAGTGTTTGGACAAAGTAAAGGAAGTAAAGAAAATCCTTACTTTTGTATAGGTGAGAATCTACRCCGACATGTTTGCTAAATCATAGGCAGATATGGGTTTTATTGGTGATTGTCAGTTGTCCAAGGAATTTGGAGTTATGGTAAGGTTTGGTGAGTGGGGATGGATGAAGAACACTTATCAGTGGGGGCCTTGTAGGTGGGCCCATTGCTATCCCCAAAAATACATTGAACTTTATTCAAATCTTTGCCTCCTTTTGATGAAAGACACAAGCTCAGTGTTCTGAGCTTCTTGGAATCCATGAAATACTCCCCAAGATTTTTTTTCTCTTTGACAGCACAGTCAGGCAATGACCTAAATAGTCCAAGGAGGTCTTTAATTCAATGCCACAGGCATCACAGAGATCATTATTGTGGAATTCCATCATCATTTTGTGATGGTTAAGCAGGTTGTGCCCAGTTAGAACTCCAACCCATGTACTCAAGGTTTTCCTTTTCAGGGCAGAGAGCTTTCCCAAACCATGCCTGTCTACAATTGGCCAGCAAACTGAGTGTTGACATCTAATTTAGACCTGTTGGACAGTCCTTCAGTTTGGAGTTACTTAAGAAGAACTTTGCAACTTTTTTAAAACCACCATTAAGTATGCTTAAAGTAGTGTTGGGAGATGCTGAACAACAACAAAACCAAGTTGTACTTTAATTATTACAAAGGTCCAATAGGCAGAATTAATCATACAAGGAGACAATTTTGAGGACATTATCTCAAACTACTTGAAATAGCAAATTTWAAAAAAATAAAATCTGAATAATCAGACTAATGCAGCATTTCAACATGATAGAGGGCCACATTGAGTGACAAAAAATGTTTTTAAACTCCTCACACTGAATGATGATTCTGTTACGACACAAAAAGAAAGCAAATCATCCAGAATGTTGTTTCARGGTTTCGGTGAAGTCTTTAGGTGTTGTAGATGCTTGATAAAGTGTGATGGGACTGCAATGGTTTTGAGCATGCACAAAAATGTGCAAAGATTCCATTGGGACGTTGTGTTGGTCTATCATTGTGGTGGCATCTTGTTGGGGTGCCTCACACACAATGACTTGACTATGACTGTGACAAGGCATGGATGCTCAGACATGATAAACGTTGTTAACTGACGCTATCCACGAGAGCCATTCCAAGACAGACAAGAGCACAGGAGGGCTTCTTTATACCTGTTGAAAATTACATAGAACAGCTTATACGACGAGTACTAAGAGCTTTGATTTTATCACTTGTGTAGGTTATGGGGGTTCATCGAGTGTGACTGGGGGCCGAACCCTCCAAAAACTACAGCTTTATTACCTTGCAAAAGATTAACTTGTGGGGGGAGCACTTGTTGGCACCCTGGGCAGATCACCTAACAAAACAAGGGTGCGCGCGCGCACGCACACACACGCACACACACACACACACACACACACACACACTCATGACATTCTCCAAAGAACCTGCATATTTTTACACGGTGTAGAAAACCAGTGTTTCTGGAGAGTATGATGATTTGCGTTCCATCAAAGGAAAAGTACATGATAATTACTGGTGGACAGGTCGGCTCCCTGGAAAGCGTGCTTAACGGACCTGACATCGTGTCAGCCCATGGTGCTGAATCCTCCCGTGTGTCCTCCTCTGAGATGTGAGCTTTCCCACAGTCAGCTGTCTTTCCAATGCCAGCATGTACCAGTACCTGTGTCGGAGTGCTTGTGTGTTTCAGTTAGTGTTGAGTGGTGGGGATAGTATGTGGGCGGGGTGGGGTGGGGTGGAGGGGGGCATTTGATTCAACCATTACTTATGTTCATGTGGAGCCCGGCAGAGGTCAGTCTCCTCCTCAACACCCCTTTTTCATCCAATTTCTGAGGCTGCGGGCGGCCGCTTGCCGCGCTTTTGTTGCCGGAGGTAATCTGTGAAGTGATCTTAATTATGGAGGTTCGGCCTGTTCTCTCTCTCCCTCACCTTCTCTCCCTCTCTCCCTCTCTCTCTCTCTCTCTCTCTCTCTCTCTCTCTCTCTCTCTCTCTCTCCCTCTCTATCTCTCTTCCTCTCTGTACACGCTTTTAATCAAACAGCATAGTTAGCTCGTAATGAGGGCGAAGGGAGCACATGCGCTTCTGCTTACACATGCTGCGAGGCTTCGAAGAGGAGGAGAAAGACAAGGATGAAAGGAGTGAGGAAGGATGGAAATGGTAGAGAGAGAGAGGCAGTTTTTAATGACAGGTTTGTTGAGAATTTTTTCGCTAAGCTTGATATCTTCTCTCAAATAGTAGAAGTCTTTAGGTTAAAACTTTTCAAGACAGATGTCAAGTAGCCTTAGATTTTATAAATGTGCGTTTTGTTTTACGATCCAATTTTTCGGTTGGTTCTTGATCAAAAACTAACTTTCCGGTTGTCTTCAGTCCTCATTTTTTTAGAATGTTAGATTTGAATGGGATGAAGTAGTGAGGGGGTGAGCTGGTGCAGGGTGGGAGGGGTACTGGGTGTTAGATGAGATCCATTACAAATAAAAAGCCAGAGCATTGATGAGATGATCTGAGGAGGATTAGACCAACAATCCTGATGGATTCTAAAGAGGTGACCACACTGGGAGAGGCTTGTGTTCGTGTCTAGATGTGAAAATGCTTACGTGTGAAGCATAYGCTCTATGTCTGTGTTATGACAACCCAGCCCCTGTGCCGGGAACTGTTTCCAGGTCACAGCCAGGTCAAAGGTTAATCAGTGAGGGCAAAGATCAGCTCTCAGATACATTGCACTCTGWTGTTTTGGCTCTGTATTTTGACCTCACTTTGTTATCATTGTTATTTTTAAGCATATTTCTGCAATTACAGTTTCTTATATTCATCAGTTAAAACCAGTGCTGAAACAATCAATATTTTGAAGTATTTATTTAGTCAGAGGCCAAACTTTTTCTGGTTTCAGGGAATTTATTGCACAAGTTGAGAGTTTTCTCTGTTTTAAAACACATAAAATTGATTTCCTCACCCTTTGGATCCATTGGTTTGTGTTTATGAAGACCCAGGGGAAAGGGAGGGCTTGTGGGAGGGTAGAAGAAAACTCAAACTGATCTTGTTTAAATATAGAAAGAGTTGTTAAATTTTAATTTTTTTTATTAAATTTTTTACGAGGATAAAGTAAAGAAAAGCATTATTTAGAAAAAAAAAGATTACCAGAAATTTACAGTTATGTATATATGTTTGCTTTTTTTCTTTTACTCATTAAGCAACTAATTTCAGTGTGTGAGGAATATGGGAATAAATCAACAAAACTTAATTAGCAAACATGGTGTTGGATTCCGAGTCTTTACCTATCTGTAGGGTAGGTTCTTAGTTTTTATGCTAGTGTGTGTGAGTGTGTGTGGTTGCATGTGTGTATTACAGTGAGGCTGCTAATTCCTTCAGGGTCAAGAGGAGGGGCCCGGGTTAAACGCTGTGACAGGGGAGGTCAGCAGTGATTAGCTGCCATCTGAACTACTGGCTGGATGCTGAGGAAGCGACGTGTCAGAGAGGGAGGGGAGAGGTGGACTTGCATTACAAGTTTGTTGAATCACTGCATGACCATGTTGAACATTCTCCTTTTTTTTCTTGATCCTCTTCTTTCCACGTGCCTTTATATTATTAAAGGTTGCCTCCATGCTTAAGTAAGGCAAAGCAGATGGGCCTTTTCATAAATCATGCTTATAAGATGATTATAGGCATCACCACCTTCTGTTCTCCCCTTCCCATGCAGAACGGTTGTGCTTGCAACTCGAGTTGCATAAAAAAGAAAGAAAACAAACACTAACCTAAACTATTTAGTTTTACTGACTAACAGAAARGAGAGAATTTGAACCCTAGAGGATAACCCAAAATCTAAAAAAAGAGGACAAAACAAAAATAAAAAAAAATAGAAAGATCAGATTTAGCATTGTCTTTTCTCTCCGTCATCAACTCTTGTTATGTTTCGGAGCTTGGCGCAAAGTTTTTGTAGAACAGGATGTTAAATATAAAGCACTGGGGGTAGGAGGAAGGGAGCTAGAAAAGGGAGTGATGGTGGGGTGTGCATGCATGCGTGCGCTGGATTATGTCTGTGCTGTTGCACTATTCCTTGATGTATGCACCATGTCAGGCAGTCATTGTCTCCTGGGTAAAGAATGATAGTTCAAATACCTAGCATCTCTCCCCTGGTGCTCCAAATGCTTGCCTTTGAAGTTTTTATAATCCATCTGTCATCTGCGTTCAGGGAGGGCACATGTTCTGTACTGCTCAATTACCAAACTCTCTTTTTGCCAACTACAATAAAACAGGAAGCAAATAATATGGGCGACCCTAAAAGAAAAAAAATAATAATAAAAAGAGAAAATAAAAAACAAGTAAAACAAAAAAAGAGGGTCATTGTGGTGTGTTGTGGGGGTGAATCAAAAAAGAGTAAGAGACAGAGGAAGGAATTGCTCGAAATCCTGCGTTCCTGACTTTCTCACGCACTTGATTGTGTCCCCTCGCTGCCTCTCATAACAGTAGAACAAAGCCTGTTTGTTGTGGGTGGAATGCCTAAAATGCTTCCTACTGTTACAATTATGAAGAATTTGATTGAATGTGTATTGTTTCAAGGGCTTGGTGATTTTGATCATTTTTTTAAGTGCCTTAGATTGTTATTCTGCTTCCCCGCGAGAAATAATAACCAGTCACCTAATCAAATTCCATTTGATATAAACATTTCATTTGTTTWAAGGGTTGGTCAATGCTATGAATGTCTGTGAGGGAAAGGGAAAAAAAAAAGTATGTTCTCATTATACATTATTCATCACGGTAGTTTAAAGATGCATGCTGAATGGCTTTTTGTCAGCAGCTGGATTGAGTATCTAATGAAGTTTGTTGCACTTCTTRGTGTTAAAATTGTTTTTAATTGGTGAACGCTTTGTTGTGCTTCACTTTAAAAGCGCCACTGAGCCAACCAGAGAAACTTCAGATAGCTGTCGGAAAAAAAAGCAACAAAAAACAAAAAACAACAAAAAAAACAAAAAAAACAACAACAACAGCAGCAGCAACCGCAAATTACGGCTCTGAAACATTTTTCATTTACATACGCCACAGGCCCCCCTTTTAAGGCTTCTACCTTTTAATTCTTTTTCATATTTAACACTCAGTACAAAACAATAAAAGCCTCAGATCTTTGTGTCTGCGTCCTCGTTTACATTGAAACACCCCCCTCCCATCAGCTCCACCATCATGAAGCATCTTCACTGCGAAGGAGATGAAAAGATTGTTTTGAGAAACTCAGAAGAAAATGTGACGTTCTTTGCTTGCTTCTGAAACTTCCAATATTCTGCCGTAATTGTTTCATACATGTTATATATCTTCATTCTGAGAGTGGGGGAAACAGAGAGAGATGAAGAACACGTCGGCTTCTTTCTTCGTGAATAAAAGGCAGCAGAACCCATCTGGATGGGTGATCCACTGCTGGCCCTCTCACACTCATCGCTGAAATAATACTCCCTCTAATGACTCCCGCATATTCTGAAATCTCCCTTTTGAAATTGGTCTTGGCAGATTATTTGCAGGTACTTGAGTTGCATCTGTTTGCAATTTTGCAAATGTGGAAGACTTTAATGCCGGGCAGGGGAGGGTAGCWGGGAAGAGGCTATTTTAATCCTTGGGATAAGACCGGCTGGATATGTGAAAGGCCTGAAGAGTGGTCTGCACCTTAGGACAAATGCTGGCTTTTTATTTCTTCCAGTGCATATTAAGAACACAGTAGGTTCCACGTTACAYGCAAAAAAGTCCTGGAGGTTTTGAKCATTCACAAAACTTCAGTAGTGAAGTCATGGTTTATCGTTGTGGTGGCAGTGTATTAATGTTCTACCTGAGAGTGGGGGGGTGTGTGGTTACTGTGCATTCGTAACTTGGGGCTCGCCCGCACTGGAGTGGCTTGCTCATTGAGAATTTGAAGCAGGACCGGTCACGTGACRCGATGCCTGAACTACAACCATGGTTGTTACAAAGTCATGGAAACAAACTAGTGCAGGCACGATAACCATAGYGGTAGCTTGAATTGTTAAACATGTAGGTGCAACTACATGGTGAAAGAGTTGGGCATGTAAAGTGTGGTGAGGGGGCATGAAAGTATCACAGAGGTGTGGGGGAAATGTATGAACCTGTTTGGTGTGCATTAACTGCTTAACAGCAAAATGACTGCGGTCACTTTCTAACAGAAGAGCATAGCGGGGTCATCATCCAGTGTGGAGGAGGCTGAAAGGATAGGTGCCCTTTACATGGATGAAGATGATGTCACTGCAAGTTAGTGTGACAGCAGGAGGTCAAGCTGCCTATTAGAAGTGTTAAATCTTGCCACCAAGTCATGATAGATCTTTTTGGATAGGGAGTGTATGTTACATGACATTTTAATTTATTGTGCCCTTTCAATGAGCTCCACCTTTAATAAGTCTTGCCTAAATAAATGAAAACACTTTTTTTTCACCAATCGGTGTTGTGCATCCCATTTGGCAATATAAAGACAACAAACAGTTGAGTTGTGTCCCGCAGTTTGTCCCACATTTTGATTGTCCTGTATAAAACGCAGTGATTAGCAAAGCTAAAGCAGAGCTGAAATGATTGTGACTTCAGTCCCTATTATTTCTACCATGTGGTGAGCAGCTGACCAGCTTAAGCCTTCCCCCCCTTGTTTTTCACCCCCTCCCCTCTTCAACCTCCCCTTTAAAACCATAATAAGGTGCCCTATTGTCCTATGGCAAGGAGCACGGGGGGGCACAGCCGAGCCCACCCAGCTGACTGTAATTTCATAGGTGGTTACAATTAAATTAATTACATGTTTCATCAACACTGTTTATCCAGCCGCATGTTAAATGAAGAACTTTTAACTATGCTTTTTTTGTTTTTGAATTTCTGTTCTGTTCCCTCCATCTCACCCCCCTTAACTCCCCCACCTTTTTTTTGTCCCTAATTTTTCTTTCTCCCTTTCTTTTTTGGTTGTTTTATTAGGGGAGGGGAGGTGCCAGAGGAGGAATTATGCTGAAAGTGTATGCCTTGCAACTTTTCCCCTCCCTGTTGGAAATGTTTATTTGAACAGTAAGCTCATGATTTGAATATTTGTAATCCATGCTTAAATTTACAGGCCAGATGAACTTTTTGGCACAGAATGGCAACCATAAGTAGGATTTTGAGAAAAGCTTTACAAAATTTTAAGCCATGTGCAAGGCTTATATAATTTAGAAGGGGGGATATGCA